CGCATACCTTGGCCAAGGTGCACGCCTCATCTCCGATGGTGAGACTGTCATCACCAACATCTTCTACAACTCCATCCCCGGTCCTTCCAAAGGCGGCCTGTTCTGGTTAGTTGCAGCCCGCAGCGTTGTGGAGCATGGGTATTAATGATGTGTGAACAGGGTTATCTATGTCTTCGCTATCCTGGCTACCGTGAGTAAGGAATGAGTCCGTCAAGGAAAAAACTGACACATGTTCCGAACCTCGTAGCTGATTGCCTCGCAAGCCTTAATTACTGCGTCATTCAGCCTCATACAGCAGCTGATCAACATGCGCAATCTACCCGCGTATGTCCTCTGTGGCATATCCAGCGTATCATGAAGGCTGACGTCACATAGCTTCCGCATGGTGTATACGTCTGAAAAGACCCAAGGCCAAGTCTACATTCCGATCGTAAACTGGGCTCGTATGTATATTCGCTTGAGGACCTGCATCGAAAAACTAATGTCTCGCTAGTGATGATCGTGGTCGTTGTGGTCGTTGCGGCATTCAAAAGCTCGACCGCATTGACGAACGCATATGGGCATGTCCATTTATTCCCGAGTTCGGGGTGCTTTGCTGACGTAGCTACGCAGATTCGCCGTTGCGACTGTCATGATAACCACCACCGTCCTTATTTCTATCCAATTCAAGTATGTGAAGGGCCTGTCAGGGTGGTTAGGACTACTCTTCTTCTTGACCTTCGGCTTCTTTGACGGTATGTCGCGTACCAACCCGCTTGATTCCGCTTCACACACACTGACTTCTCGTTACCTCAGGCCTCTTTTGGGGTGCTGCCGTGCGGAAGGTCCCTCATGGCGCCTGGGTCCCGTTGATGATCGGCCTTATCATGTAAGCACCCACAAGACTGCGCTGCAGGAACATGAATACTAACCGATTTACAGACTCAGCTCCATCCTCTTCTGGACATGGACAAAAGTACGCGATAACTTCTGTTCATCTACTTCTGCTCACACTCATTCCCCCTTCCTCTCCAGCGTCTCGAGGATGACTTTGACGGCAGCACACGCGAGAACCTGCGCCATGTCATCCTCTGCCGAGAGGAAGATGAGGTTGACGAGAAGGCTTCTACGTCTTCTGAGGATCGCACCATGTATGAGGCGACAGGGCACGTCGTCATCGCAAGCGAACGCCCCAAGGACAACATCCCTCGATTCATCTTAACGAGACAGCAGAGCCATGACAGTACTACCGGACATCATAAGGCTGGCCAGACCAAGAAGCCTCTCGCACGTATACCCACATGCGCCGTCTTCCACAAATTGACCACTGGGCGGGGCGTTCCACATTCATTTTCCTGTGAGTTAGACTGGCTGGATAAGTCTGCGTCGACAGTTTCTAACGAATCATATAGCATTCCTGCGGCATTGGCCCGCACTCCCGCGGCTAGTCATTTTCCTATCTGTTCAGGTTCTTCACGTAGCGAGGGTCCCCCCGAGCGAGCGTTACTTCGTCACTAGGGTCCGTTCCATCGAAGGTGTGTTCATGGGCATTCTGTATGCGGCTCTATTGCTCACTTCAGTCCTCCAGGCTTCTATGGTGTAACGTACTGCCTTGGCTTCCGTGACGACTTTGACGTCCAGATCACCGAGATCGTCGATCGTATATGTGACCTCGAGACTCGCGCCAACCCTGAAGGCTCGGTCGCTTTGCTTCAGGAGATCCGGAGCGTTGCTGAGAGCTATACTCACATGTCAGTATATACCTGCTTCTCAGAAAAACATTTGCTCATATCTTCCAGTGTCCCGCATTACATGGTCAGAAGCCGCAACAAACCCGGAGGCAAGCTGCGCTGGGTCCAAAATTGGGTCAGACGCCTTCTTGTCGAAGAAATCTATCAGCGACTATGTATGTTATTCAGCTTTACTTGTGCGGCCGTGTGTCTGACGGTTTACGCAGCGACCATGTTTCCCGAGACGGCAAACTGGCTCGGTTCAACTGACGAGTGAGTATTGTGGTATCTTTTGCACAACACTTTGACTGACCTCTTGCGCAGGATCATTCATGTAGGGGTACACGCGACTATTTAAGGACTTATTTGCGCACACGACATTTAACGTTAGAGCTCGTAGTACTGTATACCACATGCCTCACTAGTATTAATGTATATTTAGCTGTATAGTGGCATAACGAAGCAGCTTGTACTTACTATCGACCATATGAAGGAGCTGTAGGTTAATATCGTGGGCAAGGAAGCAGCTTGTATCGACCATGAAGAGCATGTAAGTTAATAGTATGAGCAATTACCTCCTTAATTGTGAAATGCGGAGCTCCCGACGGTGGTTTTTGTTCCAGACCCGCTGGCAAGCGATACGTCGGTCGGGATTTGCGCGCCAAAGTCACGGGACTGACACGGTCATTTGAAACTCGAAAGTCGCGCTGCCGGTGTGTCTTTCGAGTCTCGACAACCACCATCCTTCGACGACACGAGCTCTTCGACTTCTGTTCACGAACATTCCTGGATGCAGATATTATAGACAT